TGTCCATCAGTGCATGTGGCACCAGGACACCCTAGGTCGGAGGTCGGTAATCAACTTTGTAGTCGTTTCTTCTGATCTTCGGCCATATGTCTTGGACATTTGGGTAAAGAGAGGGGCTGAGCTGTCAACTGATCACCACCTGGAGGTGAGTTGGATTTCGATGGTGGGGGAGAATGCTGGACAGACCTGGCAGGCCCAAATGCATAGTGTGGGTCTGTTGGGAACGTTTGGCAGAGGCCCCCGTCAGGGAGGTCTTCAACTCCCACCTCCGACAGAGCTTCAACCAGGTCCCGAGGGAGACTGGGGACATTGAGTCTGAATGGACTATGTTGAAATGACGGGTACCGGCAGGCCAAGCAGAACGCCGTGGCAAAAACTCGGGCCTGGGAGGAGTTCGGTGAGGCCATGGAGGAAGACTTTCGGTCGACCTCAAAGAGATTCTGGCAAACCGTCTGGCGGCTCAGAAGGGGGAAGCAGTGTTCTGCCAACACTGTTTACAGTCGAAGTGGTGCGTTGCTGATTTCAACTTGAGGATGTCGTCGGACGGTGGATAGAGTACTTTGAGGATCTCCTCAATCCCTCCAACACGCCTTCCGTAAAGGAAGCTGAGGCTGGGGACTCGGGGGGGGGGCTTGTCCAACACCCTGGCTAAAGTTGCTGAGGTAGTCAAAAAACGCCTCTGCGGCATGTGCGAGTTCGGGAATGGTGCCTCTGGACTGCCAGACCGGGGTGGTGCTCCCTCTTTTTAAGAAAGGGGACCAGAGGGTGTGTTCCAACTATAGGGGGATCACACTCTTCAGCCTCCCTGGGAATGTCTATGCCAGGGTACTGGAGAAAAGAATCCGACTGATAGTTGAACCTCAGATTCAGGAGAAGCAATGCGGTTTTCGCCCTGGCCGTGGAACACTGGACCAGCTCTATACCCTCACTAGGGTGTTGGAGGGTTCATGGGAGTTTGCCCAACCAGTCCATATGTGTTTTGTGGACCTGGAGAAGGCATTCGACCGTGTCCCTCGTGGCATCCTGTGAGAGGTACTTCGGGATTATGGGGTTCAGGGCTCGTTGCTACGGGCTGTTCGTTCCCTGTATGACCGGAGCAGGAGCTTGGTTCGCATTATATTTTTATGGACAGAATTTCTAGGCGCAGCCAGGGAGTGGAGGGTGTCTGCTTTGGTGGCTGCAAGATATCGTCTCTGCTTTTTGCGGATGATGTGGTCCTGTTGGCTTCACCCCCAACACGCCTGCCGTAAAGGAAGCTGAGGCTGGGGACTCGGGGGGGGGGCTTGTCCAACACCCTGGCTAAAGTTGCTGAGGTAGTCAAAAAACGCCTCTGCGGCATGTGCGAGTTCGGGAATGGTGCCTCTGGACTGCCAGACCGGGGTGGTGCTCCCTCTTTTTAAGAAAGGGGACCAGAGGGTGTGTTCCAACTATAGGGGGATCACACTCTTCAGCCTCCCTGGGAATGTCTATGCCAGGGTACTGGAGAAAAGAATCCGACTGATAGTTGAACCTCAGATTCAGGAGAAGCAATGCGGTTTTCGCCCTGGCCGTGGAACACTGGACCAGCTCTATACCCTCACTAGGGTGTTGGAGGGTTCATGGGAGTTTGCCCAACCAGTCCATATGTGTTTTGTGGACCTGGAGAAGGCATTCGACCGTGTCCCTCGTGGCATCCTGTGAGAGGTACTTCGGGATTATGGGGTTCAGGGCTCGTTGCTACGGGCTGTTCGTTCCCTGTATGACCGGAGCAGGAGCTTGGTTCGCATTATATTTTTATGGACAGAATTTCTAGGCGCAGCCAGGGAGTGGAGGGTGTCTGCTTTGGTGGCTGCAAGATATCGTCTCTGCTTTTTGCGGATGATGTGGTCCTGTTGGCTTCATCAAATCAAGACTTACAGCACTGGAGATGTTTGCAGCCAAGTGCGAAGCGGCAGAAATGAGAATCAGCACCTCCAAATCCGAAGCCATGGTTCTTAGTCGGAAAAAGGTGGATTGCCCCCTCCAGGTTGGGGCAAAAGGTGGATTGCCCCCTCCAATACTAGTAGTATACAAACCTACTAGTTTAAGTATCTCGGGGTCTTGTTTACGAGTGAGGGAAAAATGGAGCGGCAGGTTGACTGACGGATTGGTGCTGCGTCCGCAGTAATGCGGTCATTGTACCGGTCGGTTTTGGTGAAGAAGTAGCTGAGTCTCAAGGCGAAGCTCTCAATTTACCAGTCGATCTACGTTCCTACCCTCACCTATGGTTATGAACTCTGGATCATGACCGAAAGAATGAGATCGCGGATACAAGCGGCAGAAATGAGTTTCCTCAGCGGAGTGGCTGGGCGCACCCTTAGGGATAGGGTGAGGAGTTCAGTCACTCGGGAGGAGCTCGGAGTAGAGCCGCTGCTCCTCCGCATCGAGAGGAGCCAGTTGAGGTGGCTCGGGCACCTGTTTCGGATGCCTCCTGGACGCCTCCCTGGTGAGGTTTTCTGGGCATGTCCCACTGGGAAGAGTCCTCGGGGCAGACCCAGGACACGTTGGAGAGACTATGTATTCCAGCTGGCCTGGGAACGCCTTGGGGTTCCCCCAGAGGAGCTGGAGGAGGTTTGCGGGGAGAGGGAAGTCTGGGGGGCTCTGCTCAGACTACTGCCCCCGTGACCCGGCCTCAGAAAAGCGGAGGAAGTTGAGATGAGAGATGAGATATTTATTGCATTGGGTGCTTTATTGCCACAAAATTATATAAAAAAAAACAAACTTTTTTTTTTTTTTAATTCCATGGAAACAAAAACTGAATTGGAGATGTAAACTCAGAATTCAGAGAAAAAAAGTCATTAAAAAAGTTTATATCTCGCAATTCTCAGTTTATATCTTTCAATTCTGACTTTTTTCCTTAAAATTGTTAGAACAAAATTCAGAATTGTGAGAAAAAGTCGCATTTACTTTTTTTTTTCTATCCCGTGGCGGAAACAAACTTCTATAGTTTCCACATCCTGCTGCAAACTAAGTCATTTTTGTAAACTTTACTAATTGAGTCCAAAATAAAAGTCATTGTCTGAGCGTGTGGTGATGTTGTTCTGTTATGACTGATGGTTTCTGGGCCGCGTCCTTATTGGCTCTGTTGTCTCTGTGTGCTTGTGTGTCCTGTGGTGAAGTGTGTGTGTGTGACAGCATGATGGATAGAGGCCTCCGTTGTGTTTCTCTTGCTCTCAGCAGTCTGTACATCAGGGACCGGGCGTCTCTGACCTGCTGCTCACACACACACACACACACACACACACACACACACACGAGCGTCTGCCCTCTGAAGGACATCCTGTGTGAGATAACTGTCACAGCAACAGGGTTCAAAACCAACACCAAACTAGAAACTGACAATTAGCTGCTAACCTTTTTTGTCAAGACGCAATCAGTTTTGTGTTATTTTACTTCCATAACAGGTCTTCTTTCAGACTAGTGTATAGAAAACATCTAAAATACACATTTAAGTGTTTATCTGTTTGCGTCTGTAGATTCCAATTGTTATCTTTAAAGAGTTTTTCCTCTTACAAACACCAGAACTAAGTTTTATTCCTCTCTATATTCTGAAGGCTATTGTTGATGTATAATTCGCCTAAATTTATATAACATTTTATGTGAAAATGTGTTTGTTTTCTAATTGTTGACGGTATTTTCTGATTTATGGAGTGATATTTTGCATCCATAATATGTCTTCTTTTGGTTTAGTGGAAAGAAAACACCCAAAATACACGTATAAGTGTTTATTTTATGATATTTAATTAATATGTCTCTGTAGATTTCAGTTGCAATTCATATCTTTAAAGGCCGTTTTCTCAAAATGAATTTCAGCAGCAGCAAGTTTTTACAGAAGGGTTTGTTCATATATCATTTGTCTGATATTTTGCCTAATATACAGGTTAAAAACATTAAAAAAAATGGTCTTGTTGTACTGTGATTAATCAACATAAATATGTTGCTATCTATTAGTTACACTAATAGTGTCTTGCTTGAAGTTTTCAGATGCAAGTGACTGTGTTATGCAATTTAGATTAAATGCAGGTCAACTGTCGTCTTATTTTTTAAATAAAAATATTTCAATGCAGTTTCATGGCTGCTAAGAATGATTTCTGGCCGAAACTTCTCTCATATTCGCTGCAAAAACTGATTTTCTTTCCTAAGTATTTTTGTTTTGTTCTCCAGTATAAATATCTGAATCAAGATGCATGTACTTAACAAGTAAAATGACTTAAGATATTACGTTAATCCAAATATTGTTAAAACAAGCAAAAATATCTGCCAATGTGGCAAGAAAAATAATCTTGTTTAGCCTTTGAATTAATATTATATGTGACCCTGGAGCACAAAAGCAGTGTTAAGTCGCTGGGGTATATTTGAAGCAATAGCCAAAAATACATTGTATAGGTCAAAATTATACATTTTTCTTTTATGCCAAAAATCATTAGGATATTAAGTAAAGATCATGTTCCATGAAGATATTTTGTAAATGTCCTACTGTAAATATATCAAAACTTAATTTTTGATTAGTAATATGCATAGCTAAGAACTTAATTTGAACAACTTTAAAGATGATTTTCTCAATATTTAGATTTTTTTTGCACCCTCAGATTCCAGATTTTCAAATATTGTCCTATCCTAACAAACCATACATCAATGGAAAGATTATTTATTCAGCTTTCAGCTGGTGCATAAATCTCAATTTCAAAAAATTAACCCTTATGACTATGCTCCAGCGTCACATTTTTCTTACACCATTGGCAGATATTTTTGCTTGTTTTAAGCAAAAACGAACAAAATTTTGATTTTTTTTTTTTTCAGAAAACAAGACATAATATCTTAAGTCATTTTACTTGTCAAGAAAATGCATCCTGATTCAAGAACTTCTAGACGTTTATACTTGAAAACAAGACAAAAAGTGCAGTGTACGGCTGACAGAAAACGAGACGTGGATATGAATTCTGATTGTGGCACATTTAATATCTGCCGTCTTTTTGTTCCAGGTCTCATCCCAGACTCCGATCATCCGTACAGCAAGTTCGAGAACGAGTAAAAGCCACGGATTGGATCCCTTCACCACACGCTTTGCTCTGAGACGCGCCGGATCACTTTAGGTTAGATGGAGCTGATACGGAGATTACCTTCTCAGTCCTTCCATTGCTTAGAAATCTGTGTTAATAATAATAATCTTTTCTGTATTACTCAAACACAACAGCAGCACACTGCTAAAGAATAATTTTCATCCTCTGTATTTTTGTCTTGATTTCCAATACAAATATCTAAATATTAAGACATTCTTAAATCAAGATAGTAAAATTACATGAGATATAAAGTTAAAAATGCATCAACCTGAAGTGATTTTAACACATGAACAAATATCTTCCAGTGGGGTGAGAAAAATCAACTTCATTCAAAAGGTTTTTCTAATCTCATTAGCAGATATTTCTTTCTAGCTTAATGCATTAACTCACTACATTTTGATACATTTTTCAGAAAATAAGATCTGCAGTAAATGTGTCTTGATTTAAGAATGAGACAAAAATACTGACTTTTTTTGCACATTTGAATGCTTTAGAAGATGGAACTGGTCAAAATAGCTGTTCGAATGTGACTCTTTTGTTTCTTTGTGTTCTTATAGAGAGTTTGAGAACTAGTTTATGCAAAAATGTAAATTCTGTCATGATTTATTCACCCTCCTGTCACTCTTTTCTGCTCGACAACAGCTCATACCGAGCAGGACTTTCAAAATAAGAAGTGCTATATTTCTATCAAGCCTCTTTGTATTGAGCCATATGATACTTTCTTTGAGAAACAGACCTAGGTTTTATTCTCTGATAATCCACAAAGAGCCAAAAACATTGTGCAATAAATGCAAATGAGATTTTAGAGCTTCAGTGGCGGAGAAGATGATTAGTGACTTGATTGCAGTCTGTTTCTCACACGAAGCATCAAATGACTTCACAAATATAGCACATGCACCATATGGACTGCTGTTATGATGCATTCAGATAATGCATTTTATTTTACTTTATAAAATGCATCATATGGATTACTGTTATGATGCTTTTATGGATTCTTTGTCATTTTTGTCACTATGAACCGTTGTCGAAAAGACGTGCATGAAGATGCAAAGATTCTCCGTTGCGTCCCATGTAAAAAAACAACAACTTGTGCATTTGTAACGACATGAGGGTGAATAAAAGACAACTAAGTTGAGTTTTTCAGTGAATTATTGCACTTTCTGATTCAGTTGTGATTGCAAACTCAGCATCTTTTTTTTAAACGCTCTGGCTTCTGTGAATGATTTAGACGTTTGTATTTATACTGTGTTCTTATTAAAACATGTCCTAATAAAACAAGCTTCCACTTTTAAAGAGATCGCTGTGCTTTATCCCTGTGTGGACTCGTGATGGGTTTTTGATTTTGTGTCTTATTGTTAAAGATGCTGAACAGAACGAGACGAGCGCAGCAGATGCGTGCGAGATTTAAGTGAACATGAAATCAACACTCAGCATATTTGCTTTCTTAACACGCGTTTCTGCATAATTCATCAGTGCAAGTAAAACGTAGTGTTTCACTCTAAAATCAAATTACATTTATTAGATGTTTTTATTTGGCATAAAGCAACTGAAGCCTGTTGTAGGACCATTGAGATTTTTTTTTCATTATTATTGTGACAAATTTTCTGTAAATAAGTCGAGTAGCCTATAAATGGTTTCATTTAATACTCCACTGTGTATAAAAACACCGTATACCATGGTGGTACAGTGATGATATTAGATGGTGATACTGTGGTGTATCATATGCTTTTTTCTTCTTTTCCTGTATGAATTATATAATATCCAGAATAATTCTATTTTAAAAAGAAAAGAAAAAAAGTATGGCAGTACTATGTACTGGGTGAAATCAAATGAAACACACAACAATACCAATAAATTGTTTATTTTAGAGATTTCCTGTATGAATTATTAATTAAGTCATGTACGGAATATTTGGGTCCTTAAAAAGCCATTTAAAAACTGTACAAATGTCTCGAGGATGCCTGCTGGCTTTTATTATAAGGCGAGGCGGTGTTCTATAGATGACGGACAGCTCGTGCAGCCAATGAAAGACGCGATGTCCATTCGACGGCCAATGACTGACCCGCGGGGGCGGGGCTAATTCGACCGTTTTATCCGCACACTCTCGCCGAGCAAAAGGAGAATCCCATTGAAATGACATCCAGCAGCTTTCCAGAAGGAAACCGCGGCGTTTAGAGAAGTTTCCCTCCTCACATTATCACGGATTACAGCTCATTCTTCAGATATGTAGTCATTAGACGTCGGAAATGAGTATTTAATACAGAAGGACAGTGTTTCCACACAACCGCTATCTACGCGGCTCTGATCGCAAACTCCCTCAGCTTCTAATCGGACATGTGTGATTTAATGCCAGCGGCTCAACCGGCCGAAAAAATCGGCAAAATGAAGAAATTAAGAAGAACTTTGTCGGAGAGCTTCAGTCGTCTCGGTGAGTGTCAAAAAACACGGTAAAAACACGGTAAATACGCGCCGTTATTGTTCGCGCGCTCGTCAGTTCTGCAGCAAAGTTTGTTTTCACTGTAAACGATCGTTTAATAAATCAAAAGTCGAATATAAACATTAAAATGAGACTGAAACGGACTGAAAGTGTGAATGTGAAGTGCAGATGTTGCGCCGGAGCTCCTCACAAACCAGCCGGATATAGAATTCAGAATAGAATTGAGTAGAATATGTGTGTCGATAATGCAGCGATGGTCTTCTCTCCTGCATTAAATGAAAAGACAATAGACAATGTTTGTACAATGTATGTTTTTTTAAGGCTTTAGTAGCAGATGCTGAAGTGGTTTATGCATCTCAAAAACATGCTTAACACTTCACCCCAAAATCAAAATACATTATTTATTTATTTTTCATAAAGTAAAGCCTATGATGTACTGTAATTATATGTATAAATATCTTTATATTTCTATTTTTTGTATTTATTATATTATTTAAAATATTGTATTTTTTAATATTTAAAGATGTTTATCATGTATAAAATAAAATGTAAAAATATAAATTTTTATCACACACACGCGTGCACACACACGCACACACACGCGCACACACACACGCGCAACACTTGCACTAGCGTGCACGCACATACACACACTCGCACAAGTGCACACACACAAACATTCGCACAAGCACTCACACATACACTCGCTCAAACACATACACACACTCGCACAAACGCTCAAACACACACACTCGCACAAGCGTGCACACACACTCGCACAAGCGCTCAAACACTCGCACAAGCATGCACACACACACTCACACACGCGCGCACACACACACACGCGCACACACTCTCACACTCACAGACACACGCGCACACACACACACACACACATATATATATAACGAAAATACTTTTCATTTGTCATTGTTTGTAAACACTTTTTACTTAAAAAAAAAAAGTTTTTATAAAGCATTATATATACAGTGTATGTATGTGTGTGTGTGTATATATATATATATATAAATATGATTATATTATGCATTCTTTAAGAGATTTTATTTTAAATATTCAAAGATTTTATATACTAAATAAACAATATACAAAATAAAAATACATACATTGTATTTATTTTATATACATTTTTATTATTTAAAAAAATCTATCTATCTATCTATCTATCTATCTATCTATCTAATAAAACTATTCACCCTAAAAAGTTAAAATAAATAATTGTGTGAAGCCTATTATTATTATTATTATTATTATTAATAATAATAATTTTATTTATATTTTTCATTTAATATTTTTAGTTTTTTATTGTCATTTTAAAATATTTTCATTAGTATAAAATTGTCTTTTGAAAAATAATAATAAAAATTAATCAGGTTTCATAATCAACCTTTTTGACAGATATCTGTTATCCAGTGTAATAAAGCTGCTTCTGTAAGAAAATGCAAGGAAAAAAATCCAAATAGAAAGATGATGTGAGCTTCTGCTGCAACAGTGTGTGAAAAGACCGTAAACATAATGCAGCATTTTTCATCTTTTCAAGCTGAAATGTTTCAACTCTTCATGAGAATTTGGAAAAGCAATGATGCATCAAGCTGATCCGTAAATGTTGGTTTAGTCTTCTGTCATCAGATGTTTCTCCTTCGAGATGTCTCACAGTTCAGTATGAGCTCAGATAGAGAGCAAATGATTTGAGTAATGCTGTCAATACAGTGTTATGGCTTGTCACCAGTTAAGTAGAGACGGTTGAGCACTAGTTAGGGAACTGAGCTGGTGTTGTGAAGGCTCTTCTGTCGCAGCGGTGGTTAAAGATGCTGCCTAAGGGCCTTTCTTTCTCTCCTGAAGTTGCTGACTTCATCAGCGTCCATCCGTTTTGTCAGAGCAGCAGCGATGGCCTGATGACTGTGAATTCATACAGGCTCCCTTCCAAAATCTAGTTTATTATGCTGCATGCATCATGCAGAGAGAAGACAATGCCAGCTCTAGAAAAATATATGCAAGATTTGAATGAACTTGGACTAAAAATGGACTATTTTACCCACTATTTGTGCACAGTGTTACTCTGCATGTTAGACTATAGACTGAAGCCTATAATGTACTGTATACATACTAAAGTTGAAATAATGAATTTGTTTTTAAAATATTTTAATAACAATTTTTATATATTACATATAATATTTTATTGCATTATATATGGAGCTCAAAAGCAGTCTTAAGTCGCTGGGGTATATTTGTAGCAATAGCCAACAATACATTGTATGGGTCAAATTTATCAATTTTTATTTTATGCCAAAAATCATTAGGATATTAAGTAAAGATCATGTTCCATGAAGATATTTTGTAAATTTCCTACCGTAAATTATATTATTATTATTATTATTATTATAAATATTTAAATATTGTTTGTAAATATTAGTTCAAAACACTTTTATATATTATATGCAAAATATAAAAAAAATATTTGTATGAAATTGGGCTTAATTTCTAATGCAAAATATAATTTCTTTTATTTGTTTTTGCCCAGTACTTTGTTCACAGTGTTTATATGCATATTACAGTATGACACAAAATGCTGCATGTCATGAGCATGTATGAATGGATTGTGAGTCGAGTCTCACGTTCACTTCATCAGGAGCTCTGCACGTGTGACACAGTCGTAGGCAGCATATATTATGCAGAGCGTTCCAAATCATCCAGTCTATGTAGGCGTCAGTCAGCAGTGCAGTGCACTAGTTCTGCTGTGTTGTCTGGAGTGGATCCTGGCATCTGTGTGTTTGAAGTTGTGATGTTTTCTCATTTTGCATCAGGCTACAGTGGGCTGTTTTTAGACGCCCTTCCGAAAGCTCTTCTTTTGAATGTGTGCGAGGGATATTTTGAGCTCAGACTGTGTTTTCTCTGTTTGCTCAGTAAGACGCTTTCATGCTGATGCTGCAGAACGTCACACAGGTGTCACAGAATTCAATCAGAACCCGTTACTCGTCTTCTCTCGAGTGAAATCTGTAATATATCTGCCGTTTCTGTCTGGTTTCCTCAGAGGAGGGAGCAATTTAATGGCTCGTCGCCTTGAAACAACAACAGTGACATGAATATATCATATTGTGAGGAACACGAAAGAAAGACGCTCCGCAGCGGCGCTCGTTTAACACTCAGACTCCTTTCTGCTTTTGTTAAACTATGAAAGAAGTTTATTAAGCAGACAAATGAAGGAGATCTGTGTCTATTATCCTGTGCCATCTGAACACATTATTAAAGGACATTTCTGGGTTTGAGTTGAGTTTTGTGGCATAAGGTTGATTACCACAATATATTTTTGTACAGGTATAAAAAGCAGAAATGTGAAGCTGGTATTATCAAAATAATTACATTAATTATTCCGTATGTTTAAATGTTTATTATGATAGTGTCTTGCCCAATAGACTTTAGATACCAAATAGATATT